ATTCAGTGCTTTGTAGGGCGGGGGGGATGGGGGGGAGCACGGGCAGGGAGGAGAAAGTAGCGACCTCCGGCTATGGTCGTCGGCCAACAACCCTTCCCCAACATATGGGAGGTGTTAGCGCCTCGTGTGGTAGTGCTGGGCCTGGAGGCCTTGTAGTGGCAACTTTTCAACATTGCTTATGGAACATTGTTATAACATCATCAATACATATCAATTCGTAACTTTGGTAATATAAACAAAGAACCTGGTTTTCATAATATTAGACTTTGTAACATACATGAGCAACCATCTCGTCACCTGGTGTATCGTGTGGTTTCCTGCGTGTGCTGCGTGGTGTTGTGTGGTGCAGAGGTGCCTGAAGCGTGGTGTCTGTCCGCCCCTGCATTGCATTTGTCTGTGCGTGTGTGTCGTCAGTGGTCTGCTGCTGTTCGGTTTTGTTGTTTTGTGGTTCCCCTTTTCCGTCGTCAGCCTTATTGATGTCTAGGCTTAGGTTGCATAGCGGCCTACGTGGGTGCTAGGCTTGACGTGTGTGTCTAGGTTGATGCATCGGCTGTGCCCCCCCATGTTATGTGTCGTAGCCCCGGGTTGTTACCGTGGTCAATTGGTGGCGGCCTACGTCTCTTCATGCTGTTGGCCGTATGTGGGTAGGGTCAGGGCTCTACGTGTGTGTGGCACCCGTCGTGTTGCCACCCGGGTCCTGTGTTGTTCTGTCGTGGCCTCTCCGGTAGGTGGACAGGGGGCCCATGTGGTGTCTTGGTTGGGACTGCTTCCGCATTTGTGAGGTCCGCTAGTGGCAGATGGGTGTCGTAGCGCCCCTGACTTGGGTGCACCTGGTCCTCTGACTTGTGTCTCCGTCTGGCGGCGTGCGGTGGAGGTATAGTGGGTATTTGGGTGGCCGGTCAACTGGTCTCTAGGTCATACTGTCCGGGTGGGTCCTAGCGTGTGTCCCCCTGTCTATCCTCCCGTCCTCCCCCCCATCAGCCTCCCCATGTCCCCCCCCCAGAGAGGTATATTGCTGCTAATGGTGTCTTGCATGTAAGTGTGTCTGCTCAATTATACTTGCGACCCAGAGTCCAGTGTCCGTCCGTAAAAGGTGGCGGGAAGATCTGTCCATCTTGCTGCGTGATTTTCTTTTGCCGGTAGGGGCTCCAGGGGGCTGTGAGTGGGCATAGTGAATGCGGTCTCCAGTGGCGGTGTCTGTGTCCTTGGGGTGGCCCCGGACGGCGTCTCTCTGTGGCCTGTGTAGGTGAGTGGTACATGTCCTGGTGTCCGGTTGGTGCTCATGCTGTGTCGGCGACTTGTTACCTTGGTGCGTGCAGTGTCGGGCCTCTGCGCCTCTGCATGGTTAAGCAAACTGTCCCTGCGTCTAGGCGGTAGGTTGCGGCTGGCTGCTGGTAATGGCGCTGGGAGGCCCGAGGCCGGGTGGAGAGGCTCCGGGAGCTGTGGCAGGCCTAAGTGGTCCAGGAAGGCAGGGATTTCTTCGGCGCTTGAGATGGAGTGGAACCTGCCCTCCCTGCGGACAATAAGCTTAAATGGGTGGCCCCAAGCATACCTGAGGCCGTGCTGAGTGAGGTGTTGCGTGAGGGGGCGCAGGTCCTGTTGCCTTTTCAGGGTGGTTGGCGCCAGGTCCTGAAATAGCTGGACCTGGATGCCTTCCACCTCTATGGGGGTCTCTCTGGCAGCTCTCATGATGCGCTCCTTTACATGGAAGAAATGGAGCCGCACTATCACATCCCTTGGGGTGGTTGCATTGTTGCTGGGGGCCCTCAGCACCCTGTGTGCGCGATCCATTAGCAGGTCCGCATTGGACGCTTCAGGCAGGAGGTTCCGGAATACTTCTATGAGGGTGTCAGTCAGGAGCTCGGTGGAAACAGTCTCCAGTATGCCTCTCACCCTTATGTTGTTTCTCCTGGTTCTGTTGTTGAGGTCTTCGTTCGATTCTTCCAGGTAGCGCAGCTGTTCACGGAGGACCTGCAGCTCTCCACCGTGCGCCCGCACAGTCTCCATAGCCTCCGCCATTTTGGTTTCCGTTGCTTGTGTGCGGGCTGTCAGATCCGCCAGTCCCTCCGTGATCGGGCCCAGCTTTTTTTCAAGCTCCTCCGCGACCGATTTTCGGAAGTCTGCGAGGAACCCTTGCATGTCCCGCCGGGTTAGTGGTGCCTTTGCCCGGTCCGAGGCCGTCTGGCTGCTCATCTCCGAGTCGGAGTCTGATGGTGGGTGCTCCCAAGATGGCGCCTGGGCCTTCTCGGCCTTTTGCCGGAAGATCGGTGCAACCGTGGAATTTCGCGATTTTCTGCTTCCTCCCATTGGGGGGTGAGTGGATGAGGTGAGGTGGGCGACAGGGATGGTTAGGGGGGGCGTGGGGGCTCAGGTGCTGGGGGATTATGCCGCCATTTCCTTGCTCGGTCAGGCTCCGCCTCCTCTATGGGCAGTTTGAATGCGCGCGCGGCCCTTGGCGTGGATGTGCATTCGGAGCTGAAAGGCGGATCGGGGCAGAAAGATCACTAGCGCCAAGGGAGCCCGGCGCTGGAGAAAGGTAAGTGCTGAAGGGGTTTTAACCCCTTCAGCCCATCAGGAGGGGGGCCACAAGGGTGGGGGGACCTAAGGACTACATAGTGCCAGAAAAACAAGTTTGTTTTCCTGGCACTATAGTGGTCCTTTAATGACAAACATTCAGACCAAGAAATACACACATGCAGACACACACAGAGATACACATACATACACAAACACACATTCACTAACAGACAAGCATACACACACACTCACATACAGAAGCATACACACTAGCTAACAGACACACTCACTTACAAAACATGCACTCACACTGACAAACACACACTCACTAACAGACACACACAACTAACACTCAGTAACAGACACACACAGTAACACACTCACTGATATTCCCTAGCAGAAACACACTCAATAAACAGACACACAAACTAACACACTCAGTAACAGACACACACACACACACTAACACGCATACACACATTTTTTTATTTTATCCCCCAGCCTCCCTACCTTTGGTAGTGCTGAGGGGATTCCAGTTTTCCCTGAGGTCCAGTGGGGCTGCTGTGTGGCCGGTCACTGCAGGCGGCGAGGGAGCACTGATCCTCCTGTTCAGCTCCCTTGTGCACTGCTTACTGATGCCGGAGCTGGAGTGCCGTCATATTCCTGCTCTGGCATCACCGCAGTGCACGTGAGGGAGCTGGGTAGAGAGAGCTCAAAGGAAAATGCTCCCTCGCCCGCAAAGCGACGCCACTGCCAGCCTCGGGGGGCCCTGAGGTGGCCAGCTCCTGGGTCCCCCAGGAGAAGAGGCTGGCAAAATGCGGCCATGCTCGCACTGGCGTACATACCCAGGTCGCAGGAAGGCCAGGCCCGGTTGCAGCTGCGACCCCTGTATGTATGCTAGTGCCGTCACAGATTATGAGGATGTTTCCCGAGAGGGGGGACAGGTGCTGGAATATATGTAATAAGTAAGATGTAAACCAGAGGTTTGTCTCCTGCATATAGATCTTCTAGAGTGGCCAATACAAATAAGACAATTATCCATAACCTGGTAGCAGCTAAATTAGAAATGGTCTAAAAGTCTTATTTCAACTTAAAATAGAGTCGGGAATTTCTAATCAGTTTAAAGAGGATTTTAAAGGGAGAGATGATTGGAACTAGAGAATATTTATAACCAACTTACCGTAATTTTCTTTTCCTGGCTATTTTTCCATGGCAGCATCACTTATGGGTCGCGCAGATATGACACAAGCCTCTGGAACGTATAGCGTATGGATTGCCCATCGGTGGGGCATACCCCAGATCGAACGACCAAGGAAGTTACCGAATAATAGATCCCCCGGAACAGAAGGCCACACAAAGTTGTCTTGGAGGCATAGTCGGCTCCCTATGAATGAAGCCATAAGGCCCTTCTAAAGGCCACAAACAGGGCCATGCTTTTAGCATTCATAGGGACGCTTGTGAGCAGAATTCTGTAGCAAAGCTAAAGTCCATGAGACTTTCCAAGAGATGTTCCCTGCAGACTCCCCAATCAATGCCAGGGCCAAATAAGATTTTATAAGATCCCCATCCATACGTTCTTTCATATGCTTCTGATAAGGGTAATTAGTCTATCAATAGACTTAGAGTCAAGAGACCTGGAGGTATATTCAACTTCCTTGGTCGTTCGATCTGGGGTATGCCCCACCGATGGGCAATCCATAAGCTATGCGTTCAAGGCGTTCGTGTCATCCGCGCGACCCATAAGTGATGCTGCCATGATTAGCCAGGAAAAGTGGATTAAGAGAATAGAGGAAACAAAGGTTTTGAGGGAGTAATAAATAGTAAAATAAAATGGAAAAAATTAAAAAGAAGCTGGTTTTCTTTTGAATGGGTATTTATTTCTCTCTCGTCAGTTTTTATGCCCTGTGGGGAAGGGGGAAATTGGAAGGTGGGAGGATTATTCGCGCTCTACCTTAAGTAAGGAAGGTTCCCTGGCAGACACTTAATTACAGCTATTTTTGTAAAGCAATATAACAAATATGTGCACAGTGTGGAAGATGATCAATACGAAGCTCTATACACCTCAAAGTGGAGTCCCCTTTACCACTTTAAAATCAACAATATACATACATAAATCAGGTGGAGCTTCTTAGAATAACAATATAACAGATATTCTGTAAAATAGAATATAGATCATAGTGCAATACAGTAATATAAATAAAATTGAAAGTATATATGCAGTAGGTATTCCACTCACAAGCCTGGAGTCATAGTCTCATATGACTCAGATGATGTGTGCCTTTGGACCAATTTAGGATGTCCAGATCCTTCTTTCTTGCAGGATTCCATCTGTAACCACCTTTAACCAACTTTCAGACCAAAAATGTCAGGTCAACAATAGGTTTCTAAAAGGATGGTGCTTTATTTGAAATAAAAATAAGACTTTTTATAAAAGAAATTAACATTTAAAATCAAAATAAAATATACCAACTTTAAATGGGGCTGTATAGTCCTTAATAGTCGCCAAAACGCGTTTCGCCTGGTACAACAGGCTTCCTCAGTCGGCTAAATTGTCCACTGTTTCGTCTTCTCGGTTATTTAAAAAGTCCGCTCAATTTTACTTCCGGGTTCCGGTTTTCGTTTCGGTGGAACGCAGTTATGCGTTCCAGTGATATCACTTCCTGTTCCGTCACTTCCGGGTTGATGCCTTGTTCGATTGGAACGCATCATGCGTTCCAATCGTACCATTTCCTGTTTCGTCACTTCCGGATGCCAATCTCAGCCAGTTGGAACGCACAATGCAGTATTTCCAGTATTTCTATTATTTTCAATCGATCCACTATGTCAGCTTATTTTTCACACATTTATATGCATATATTAATATACTTTATTAGTGTGTCAAGCATGGAAGTCTGTTCTATATACTCTTTCACATATGTTGATAAACTCTACATATATATTAAAAGTTCCCAATCTATATTTTGTAATAAAAGATGGTGCAGATCTCTTTGAATATTTATGCAATATACAAGACATTTTTCTTAAGGTGCTTTTGTAGGGAGAGAGTGATATGAATATTTTAAAGTGCTCTTACATTATAAAGGTGATATAAACATTTTCCCTTAAAGTGCTTTTGTACATTAAAGTGCTCTTTTACATTTTCCTTTTAAGTGCTTTTATGGTGTTATTCAGATTTCCACAATAGTATTCAAGAGTATGCCATTTCAAAAACTAAAAAAGGGGTTTAAAAGATGGTATCCTTGCTAAAAATACATATAATTGAACAAAATATACCTATTTAAAAATATTATTTAAAAAATATTTAAAATTATTTAGATATATGATATAAAAAAGTTCAGTTCATGAAATGACATAATTCAAAGTCTTGGTTTAAACCATGAGGTGCCATAGTGTTAAAGTTAAAAATAAATCTAATTTCTTCTATTCCTATTTTCCTAATGTAATCTCCTCCTCTCCAATCTTTTTTAACCAATTTTATTGCACAAAAGAACAATCCTTTAGGATCTTGGTTATGGAATGTCTTAAAATGGTTGGAGACGCTATGTGACTCCAATCCATTCTTTATATTCCTCGTGTGCTCTGCTATTCTCGTATTTAGGCATCTAATCGTTCTTCCTACATATAGGAGATTACACTGACACTTCAGGACATAGATGACCCCTTTGGAATGGCAAGTTAAATGATCTCGGATTTGAAATTTTTGATTTATCCAAGGTTTCATATCTATTATATGGCGCTTCCTGCTTTTAGTATTTCTGCATGCTAGGCACTGACCGCAACCATAAAAGCCTTTATTTTGCCTTAAGAAATTTTTTTCCACCAAAATTTGTTTATCACTACTTTGTACTAAAGTGCTTTTTACATTTTTTGCTCCCCTGTAAATGATCTTAGGTCTTTCTGACAAGATATTTTTTAAGACTGGATCATCTTGCAAGATGTGCCAATGTTTATTTATAATTTTATTAACTTTTTTATGATTTCCATTAAAATTACAAATGAATGGGACATCATTGTTCCATTTTTGTTTCCCCTTTTTATCTTTGTATATTAAAAGGTTCTTTCTAGGTATTGTGCGAACATCTTCTGGAGAGGCCTGTAAATCTATTTCTGCATATCCTTTTTGTAGAAATTGGGTCTTTATCCTTCCTGCCTGTAATAAGTAGTCTTCGTCATTGGTACAATTGTGCCTAATTCTTAAAAATTGTCCTCTAGGTGCATTTCTTAGCCAGGGTGTGTAATGACAGCTCTCTTTCCGAATGTATCCATTTGCATCCACTTCTTTAAAATGATTCTTTGTGGTAATGCAGGTATTCGTGATATTGATATCTAGATCTAAAAAATTTATACTTTCCTCACTTATTTGCGCCGTTAAAACAATATTCCAATAATTTTTATTTAAAAAGGTGATAAAAACATCTAACTCTGTCCTAGTTCCCGTCCAGATAAAAAATATATCGTCCATGAAACGACGATAGCACACCAAGTCCGCTACCCAGGTATGTCTCCCATATACAAACTTCTCTTCCCAATATGCCATGAACAGGTTCGCATAACTGGGAGCGAACTTGGTGCCCATCGCCGTATCCGAATTTGAAGATAAAAAAATGTCTTGAAACCAAAAAAAGTTGTTAGTTAAAATCAGGTGGATGCCTTCTAAAATATATAAAATCTGTTCCTCTTTAAAATTATGTTTCCTTAAAAAATATTGCACAGCTTCCAATCCAATCTTATGTGGTATGATACTATAAAGAGAGGTTACGTCGCACGTAACCAAAAAATTACCCTCTTTCCAAGTCGTCTCTTCTAAAAGCTTCAAAATATGTATAGTATCTTTTAGATAAGCGGGATTGTATACAACCAGAGGTTGCAACAATTTATCTAAGTATTCTGATACCTTCGCTGAGACGGAGTCAATCCCGGATATTATTGGTCTACCCGGTGGATTTCTCCTATCTCTATGTACCTTTGGTAAATGATAGTAAACCAGAGTTTTAGGGTGCGGAGTAGACAGATACTTAGCTTCATCTATTGTTAGTATTTCCTTTTCTAAACCTTTCTTAATATATTCATCAAATTTCTTTTTTATCTCCTCGATTGGATTTCTATCCAACTTTTGATATGTGAGAGGGTCAGACAAAATTCATTCTGCTTCTTGCACATAACTTGACCTTGAAGATATAACAACCCCCCCGCCTCCCTTATCTGCCGGTTTGATGACCATCCCTCTATTTTGTTTTAATTCCTTAACCACATTCTTTTCTTTATTTGACATATTGTATTGGTATTTATTCAATGGCCTAATTTGTCTTATCTCTTTCGTGACCATTAATTCAAACGCTTTAATTTCATCAGAGATGAGTTATTTAGGAAAAAGGTTGGATTTTGTTTTTAAATCCGTATGTTTATACTCTAATACAACCTCTTCCTTTTCCTTCTGAGTTTCCTTTTGATTGGCGAAAAATTTCTTTAAACATAACTGTCTAATAAATTTATTGACATCTATAAACAGATCAAATTTATTCAAATCTGCGGTAGGGGCAAATTTTAGGCCTTTCTGTAAAACTTCCATTGTCTCTTTAGATAATTCTTGGTCTGTCAAATTAAAGATGCCTTCTGCGTTTATCTCTTGCCTCTCTTCTCTCTGTATCTCATTTCTTCTCCTTCCTCGGTTTCTCTTTCTTGTGTTATCGATATTCTGCGTTTGCCTGGGGATTCCCATATACGGATCTGCTGTGTTTGTTTCAGAGAAAAAATAAAGTATTCTCCAAATGTACAGAGGAAGAAATTAGAAGAGAGACATGGACTACCACATACCTCCAACCAAGATCCCACATCTCCTTTTTTTCTGAAAGACCCAGTCAAGGAGAGATTGAAACAAACACAGCAGATCAGTATATGGGAATCCCCAGGCAAACGCAGAAGATCGATAACACAAGAAAGAGAAACCGAGGAAGGAGAAGAAATGAGATACAGAGAGAAGAGAGGCAAGAGATAAACGCAGAAGGCATCTTTAATTTGACAGACCAAGAATTATCTAAAGAGACAATGGAAGTTTTACAGAAAGGCCTAAAATTTGCCCCTACCGCAGATTTGAATAAATTTGATCTGTTTATAGATGTCAATAAATTTATTAGACAGTTATGTTTAAAGAAATTTTTCGCCAATCAAAAGGAAACTCAGAAGGAAAAGGAAGAGGTTGTATTAGAGTATAAACATACGGATTTAAAAACAAAATCCAACTTTTTTCCTAAATACCTCATCTCTGATGAAATTAAAGCGTTTGAATTAATGGTCACGAAAGAGATAAGACAAATTAGGCCATTGAATAAATAACAATACAATATGTCAAATAAAGAAAAGAATGTGGTTAAGGAATTAAAACAAAATAGAGAGATGGTCATCAAACCGGCAGATAAGGGGGGGGGGGTTGTTATATCTTCAAGGTCAAGTTATGTGCAAGAAGCAGAACGAATTTTGTCTGACCCTCTCACATATCAAAAGTTGGATAGAAATCCAATCGAGGAGATAAAAAAGAAATTTGATGAATATATTAAGAAAGGTTTAGAAAAGGAAATACTAACAATAGATGAAGCTAAGTATCTGTCTACTCCGCACCCTAAAACTCCGGTTTACTATCATTTACCAAAGGTACATAAAGATAGGAGAAATCCACCGGGTAGACCAATAATATCCGGGATTGACTCCGTCTCAGCGAAGGTATCAGAATACTTAGATAAATTGTTGCAACCTCTGGTTGTATGCAATCCCGCTTATCTAAAAGACACTATACATATTTTGAAGCTTTTAGAAGAGACGACTTGGAAAGAGGGTAATTTTTTGGTTACGTGCGACGTAACCTCTCTTTATAGTATCATACCACATAAGATTGGATTGGAAGCTGTGCAATATTTTTTAAGGAAACATAATTTTAAAGAGGAACAGATTTTATATATTTTAGAAGGCATCCACCTGATTTTAACTAACAATTTTTTTGGTTTCAAGACGTTTTTTATCTTCAAATTCGGGGAACGGCGATGGGCACCAAGTTCGCTCCCAGTTATGCGAACCTGTTCATGGCATATGTTCACAGCAGATCGCGTTCCACCGAAACGAAAACTGGAACCCGGAAGTAAAATTGAGCTGACTTTTTAAATAACCGAGAAGACGAAACAGTGGACAATTTAGCCGACTGAGGAAGCCTGTTGTACCAGGCGAAACGCGTTTTGGCAACTATTAAGGACTATACAGCCCCATGTAAAGTTGTTATATTTTATTTTGATTTTAAATGTTAATTTCTTTTATAAAAAGTCTTATTTTTATTTCAAATAAAGCACCATCCTTTTAGAAACCTATTGTTGACCTGACATTTTTGGTCTGAAAGTTGGTTAAAGGTGGTCACAGACGGAATCCTGCAAGAAAGAAGGATCTGGACATCCTAAATTGGTCCAAAGGCACACATCATCTGAGTCATATGAGACTATGACTCCAGGCTTGTGAGTGGAATACCTACTGCATATATACTTTCAATTTTATTTATATTACTGTATTGCACTATGGTCTATATTCTATTTTACAGAATATCTGTTATATTGTTATTCTTTTTTTTTTGGTTCCAATTTTTATTACGTGTCCCCATGAAAAGAAATTCCCCTTTATTTTTGCTACTTTTCCTGCCTCCTTCTTTTTACCTTCCTTTTAAATTTGTATTTTATTGGTGTTTTCACAATGTAAAATACATCTGGTACACAATATGAAAAGTTATAAAGTTTACACAGCAACTCTAATGAGTTGAAATAACGATAGGGTAACATGTGCACTAGTGGCTGATATTTGGATCGCTGTGTGGTGTTGTTTATATTAAGCTATATGGGTTGAAGAGCAGGAGTACCTCTAATGCGGTCTCTGCTTGGCCCCTCCATTATATCATGGGAAGTTATCTCTGTGTTTAGGTCGTTGAGAGGGTTTAGCTACTGCTTACTAGGCATCAAATGGGTACGTATTTATGAAGTGTGAGCAACTATTGTGTGTCTCGCTTCTAATTACTGGTAAGGTAACCTCGGAGGGCCTCTATGAGTGTGATGTGTCTCCAAGTGGCGTGGTTTGGCTAGGGGTCGAGCCTGGGGGTTTAATGGTTGAACTCTGTTGGGTCCCTGTGTATCTATTTTCGACTTCTGGGCTTCCACTGGGATCTTTGCGTTCAGTTTCAGTCTTTGGAGGAAAGTCTCTTTGTCCTCAGGAGAAGAGAGGGTGAGTACGTCGTTTCCTTGTGTTACCTGCAGGGAGCCATCTACCCCCCACCGATATCTGATCAACGCCTCTCTCAGCTGTCTGGCCACCGGTGTTAACTGTCTCTTGACTGCGAGGACGGCAAAAGGGATGTCCCCGTATATGGCTATGTCATAGCCTTCGAAGTGTATGGTTCCCAGCTCTCTTGATTTGGCCATAATCGCCGATCTAACTGCAATGTCCTTGGTCGCGGCAATTATGTCTCTTGGTGCGTCTGTAGGGGCAGCTGCGGCTTTGCGGACCCGGAATGCTGTTGTTAGTGCCTCTGAGCCTGTGTTGCCTCCTATTCCCAGCGAGGCCATGAAGCGTCGGAGGAAGGGCATTGTTGCATCGCCGTCGACGTGCTCTGGGATGCCGCGGAGGCGGATATTCCTCCTTCTGTGCCTGGACTCCATCACTAACATCGACTTGGTGAGTTTCTGTACCTGCTCTGTTAATTCTTGCAGATTGTTGTGGTTGTCATGCACTTTCTGGTCCCTAGCTACTTCTTTTGTTTCGATCTCTGTGACCCGTTGTTTGAGGGTCCCTATCTCCGTGCGCGTGTCTAGGAGGTCAGCTTTCCACACACGTCGCATGTCCAGCAGGAGATTTTTAATGTCTCTCTTTGTTGCCGGCGAAGAGTCTTCATCTGACTCTGACTCATTAGAGGGGGTCCCCTCCGATTGTGAGGCCGGGGTTTCCTCCTCCTCCTGATAGTTCTCTAGTGCCTCATCCTCGCTAGGCAAGTCGGGCGCCATTTTGGCTGGGCCCCGCGGTGTAGGCCTCTCAAAGGATAGTCTGATATCCTGCATTTTTGGAGCTTCTGGAAGACGAGGTTTCCTGTTTTTTCGCCCCATTGTGTCTTCTGAGTGAGGGTAGTTGTCGCTCAGCGTGTTTCGGAGTCTGTTTTCCGTATTTAAAACGTTTTTTTTGAGATTCTGGGACGGAGCTCTGTTTAAACACGTCTTCTCTGGTGCTCGGTTGGCCACGCCTCCCGTTATATTGTTATTCTAAGAAGCTTCACCTGATTTATGTATGTATATTTTTGTAAAGCTGCTGCCTTAAGTTGCTCTAGGCTTTATAACGTGATTTCAAATGCTTAGGATTTGAATGTGATAGAACGAATGTCTGAGGAAGAGAAGTTTGTATATGGGAGACATACCTGGGTAGCGGACTTGGTGTGCTATCGTCGTTTCATGGACGATATATTTTTTATCTGGACGGGAACTAGGACAGAGTTAGATGTTTTTATCACCTTTTTAAATAAAAATTATTGGAATATTGTTTTAACGGCGCAAATAAGTGAGGAAAGTATAAATTTTTTAGATCTCGATATCAATATCACAAATACCTGCATTACCACAAAGAATCATTTTAAAGAAGTGGATGCAAATGGATACATTCGGAGAGAGAGCTGTCATTACACACCCTGGCTAAGAAATGCACCTAGAGGACAATTTTTAAGAATTAGGCGCAATTGTACCAATGACGAAGACTACTTATTACAGGCAGGAAGGATAAAGACCCAATTTCTACAAAAAGGATATGCAGAAATAGATTTACAGGCCTCTCCAGAAGATGTTCGCACAATACCTAGAAAGAACCTTTTAATATACAAAGATAAAAAGAGGAAACAAAAATGGAACAATGATGTCCCATTCATTTGTAATTTTAATGGAAATCATAAAAAAGTTAATAAAATTATAAATAAACATTGGCACATCTTGCAAGATGATCCAGTCTTAAAAAATATCTTGTCAGAAAGACCTAAGATCATTTACAGGGGAGCAAAAAATGTAAAAAGCACTTTAGTACAAAGTAGTGATAAACAAATTTTGGTGGAAAAAAATTTCTTAAGGCAAAATAAAGGCTTTTATGGTTGCGGTCAGTGCCTAGCATGCAGAAATACTAAAAGCAGGAAGCGCCATATAATAGATATGAAACCTTGGATAAATCAAAAATTTCAAATCCGAGATCATTTAACTTGCCATTCCAAAGGGGTCATCTATGTCCTGAAGTGTCAGTGTAATCTCCTATATGTAGGAAGAACGATTAGATGCCTAAATACGAGAATAGCAGAGCACACGAGGAATATAAAGAATGGATTGGAGTCACATAGCGTCTCCAACCATTTTAAGACATTCCATAACCAAGATCCTAAAGGATTGTTCTTTTGTGCAATAAAATTGGTTAAAAAAGATTGGAGAGGAGGAGATTACATTAGGAAAATAGGAATAGAAGAAATTAGATTTATTTTTAACTTTAACACTATGGCACCTCATGGTTTAAACCAAGACTTTGAATTATGTCATTTCATGAACTGAACTTTTTTATATCATATATCTAAATAATTTTAAATATTTTTTAAATAATATTTTTAAATAGGTATATTTTGTTCAATTATATGTATTTTTAGCAAGGATACCATCTTTTAAACCCCTTTTTTAGTTTTTGAAATGGCATACTCTTGAATACTATTGTGGAAATCTGAATAACACCATAAAAGCACTTAAAAGGAAAATGTAAAAGAGCACTTTAATGTACAAAAGCACTTTAAGGGAAAATGTTTATATCACCTTTATAATGTAAGAGCACTTTAAAATATTCATATCACTCTCTCCCTACAAAAGCACCTTAAGAAAAATGTCTTGTATATTGCATAAATATTCAAAGAGATCTGCACCATCTTTTATTACAAAATATAGATTGGGAACTTTTAATATATATGTAGAGTTTATCAACATATGTGAAAGAGTATATAGAACAGACTTCCATGCTTGACACACTAATAAAGTATATTAATATATGCATATAAATGTGTGAAAAATAAGCTGACATAGTGGATCGATTGAAAATAATAGAAATACTGGAAGATGATGCCGGTGGAACGCATTGTGCGTTCCAACTGGCCGAGATTGGCATCCGGAAGTGACGAAACAGGAAATGGTATGATTGGAACGCATGATGCGTTCCAATCGAACAAGGCATCAACCCGGAAGTGACGGAACAGGAAGTGATATCAGTGGAACGCATAACTGCGTTCCACCGAAACGAAAAATGGAACCCGGAAGTAAAATTGAGCGGACTTTTTAAATAACCGAGAAGACGAAACAGTGGACAATTTAGCCGACTGAGGAAGCCTGTTGTACCAGGCGAAACGCGTTTTGGCAACTATTAAGGACTATACAGCCCCATTTAAAGTTGTTATATTTTATTTTGATTTTAAATGTTAATTTATTTTATAAAAAGTCTTATTTTTATTTCAAATAAAGCACCATCCTTTTAGAAACCTATTGTTGACCTGACATTTTTGGTCTGAAAGTTGGTTAAAGGTGGTCACAGACGGAATCCTGCAAGAAAGAAGGATCTGGACATCCTAAATTGGTCCAAAGGCACACATCATCTGAGTCATATGAGACTATGACTCCAGGCTTGTGAGTGGAATACCTACTGCATATATACTTTCAATTTTATTTATATTACTGTATTGCACTATGGTCTATATTCTATTTTACAGAATATCTGTTATATTGTTATTCTAAGAAGCTTCACCTGATTTATGTATGTATATTTTTGTAAAGCTGCTGCCTTAAGTTGCTCTAGGCTTTATAACGTGATTTCAAATGCTTAGGATTTAAATGTGATAGAACGAATGTCTGAAGACAGACCATGATTTATAAGCTTTATGAAACAACTTGTGGTTAATTATAGATTAACTGGACAGTAAAACCATGTATGGAATTTTAGTGTACATATATGCTGACGAAGGTGCATGTAGGTCTGCACCAAAACGCGCGTTGGGTGCTAGCTATTTGTTTTATCACTGTGCACTTTATTTTTCACTAATGGTTAGCATGTTGCTTTGATGGTTCACTTAGATTTTTACTTTTGATCTTTCCTTCTAGGTCTGTCTAGTGAGCTTAACAGGGAGGGAGGCTTTGACAGTTTAACTTTTTGCCAGTCTTTTACTGCTAATAGCATTTTTCATCTTTCTCTTATCTGCTATATTGTAATTACTTATTTGGCCACCCAACAGGGTTCATTTGACTCATTTAAATAGCCCTTCATGCCTCATACAGGCTGACATTATCTTGAGTGTTAGGTCATTTGGTGCTATGTATACTGACTGACTACATAGCCTCTCTTTCCTCGCAGCAATCAATTGTTCTCACAGGGGCTGACTTGTGTAGAAAATATATCCATATTAAATAAAGCTCCTTTTTATTTTATTTTTTTGTCATTCTTTGTTTTATTGAGGCATGCGTTACAGGCGTTACAGAATAAAGAAGAGTGGATGTACTTTTTCTTTTTTTTTTTTTAATACAGGTTGGGAGCATAACGACACAATTCAACATCTCCTGTGAGTGACAGCCCCATTTTATATTAATTAAGCGTTACAAAAGTTTAATAACAAGGATAACGTAATAATAATAAATGTAGTTGGTCATATGCGTTGTCCGAAAGCTTCTATGCGAGTCTGCCATTTTATCTGGAATGTGCTCAGTTTTTAAAAAGGCATGACCTTCATCGCATAAGGCAAAGGTGTCATAAAATATAGTGGTACAAAGATATAACATGAATACATTCGCTCGTATTAGCTTCCCCAATAAGGATTTAACAATATTCTGCAGTTAGCTAAATGGATTGCACCATTCTATAGTAAGTAGGACATCTGAGCACAGCTTTACCAGAAAGGATATAAACAATAAATTAATTAAAAATAAAATTGCAGAGATCAACAATGCGTGTGTGTTATACGATAGATAGAACATATGATTAGAGACATGCTTTTCTCGCTTTCTATAATGATGTTATAGATTGGTGTTCAAGGCTTATAGTGCACGGTGGGGGGAATTAAATGCATAACTGTGAGAATCAAAAGCATTAAACATACAAAATATATAGGCCACTGAGTCCCCGCATACCCTTGCCTTATGGAGGTTGCTGCGTAAAGTAAGCCCTGCATCGTTCATATTTTAAGGTTAGTGGCACTGTAGTGCAGGTCGGCAATGAAGGCCTCGTGGGTAATGGCCTAATGTGGCTGGGGGCCAGTCCTGCATAGTGGGTCTAGCTTCAGCCGATGCCAGTGCTCGGGGGCCCGTTGGAGCTGCGGTGAAAGGCAGGTGCAGGGACCAGAGTCCCTCCACCCCCAGGCCCTGATGAGAGCTCGCATCTCTGCTCCACGGATTCGATACATCATTGTGGAGTGCGGATCCTTCCCGTGTTGGGGACCGCTGGAGCTCCTGGTGTTTTTTTCGCAGCCTGCGGCGTCGGAGTGTCCACTTCTGTGGACGATGCCGGGAGTATACCTCCATGTGCGCTCTCAGCCCAGCGTCTGCTGGTGCCAGTTGAGACATGGTAGTTGCGCCCTTAGGGGCCTGCTTGTGCCCTGGTCCGGCTCCGCCAGAGCATAAGCTTCCAGTTTCGCCCAAAAGCAATCGAAGGCTGCGTCTATGCGCTGAGTCAGGGTATCTACTGTGTTCTCCGGGTTTGGTGCCAACCGCGTGGTCCCATGATGGGTCAGCCATCTTGGATGTTGCTGCAGTAGTCAGGGCTTGTGCCATTGTAGTAGGCTTTGTCCAGTCCAGGCGTGCAAAGGGGGTCAGTGGAGACCAGGATAACCCCCACCGGTCCAAAGGAGGGGGTGGGGGAGTGTGAGAAGACTGTGTCAAGCGAGGACCTCACCGTGGGTCTGGGAAAGCAGCAGTCTCCCCTTTGCTCCCGTTCTGGTAGGCCTCAAGCCTCCGGTCGGGCGGTTCAGCAAAACGTAGCCTTAGATCGGGTATCCACTTGTACAGCTTCATCCCGGGAACATAAAGGCTGCTGGTTACAGTCAGTGTGAGTGGACCAGGTGTAGTCCTCATTAGAGCTAGGCGTGGGAGCTCTAGCAACACCCGTCCAGCCAGCATGGCAGTCAAGCTCCACCACCTCCTTTTTATTTTGATAAATATTTTTTTTTCAATTTGACAATATTTATTGTTTTATAAAGTAACAGTTGGGGTACAGAAGAGAGTAGGGAGGGGTTACAATGAGCGTTCAACATAAAGCACACTTTTTTCCATCTGACATTTGTGTGTTAGGCATGGTATTGCATACTCTATATATACCCTCTTTTGTTTGGCTAGTCTCTATGGCCTTCCATGTCTTCTGGGCTTGAGTTCCCTGCCTATGTATGTTACTCTCTTTACCTACAATTGGTCCGCTACACCTGAGTGGTGCGTGCTCTGCGGTTGCTTCGCTGCTCTTGGTGTGGTTGTCCATTGATGTCCTACCACTACACTCCTCTTCAACGGGATAGGGGGTAAACCGGGGATTGTGAGGAGGGGGGGGAGGGGAGGGGGGGTAAAGCGAGTTCCCCATGTCCTGTCTATCTGCCGCTCAAGGTTTGCCACCTTTGGTATTTCCTTGAGGCTGCCTGGCTGTATTTTACTAGGAGGTCTTCCTATTTGACTTCTAGTTGCATCCCACTAGTCAGGGTCCCCTATCCTTCTTATGGGTGTCGTACCCCTGTGTTTCCCTGTGGCCACTTCTGTCGTATGATTCGAACCTATCGTGGGAAGTCCGCTTGGAGCCTCCTCTCTACTGCTCCTCATTATGGTGAGTGTCCCATCTAGTTAT